GAAGGCTGGCGCTCCCCGCCCACAGCTCCCTGTGCGCCGGAAGCATCCTTCCAGGGAACATTCTTGCCATCAGAACTACCAGAGTGTTTTGTTCAAATCATGGATCTAATCTTATCTCTACCTCCTACTTTAAAGCTCTTCAGTCGCTTTTTTTTAGTGTTTTGTTTTGTTTTGGTACTGGGAATCAAACTCAGGACCTCACACTTGGCAGGCATGCATCGTGTGGCTAAGCTATATCCCCAGCTCCTTTCTTTGATTCTTGTGATAGAAACAAAACATGGTATCATGATGTGACCTACATGACCCTGCATTCTCTGGCTCTCACTTTTTTTTCTATTTTTTGGGTTTTTTTTGAGACAGAGTCTCGCTGTGTAGTTCAGAATAGCCGTGAACTCATTATTTAGCACAGACTGGCCTGGAACTCCCAGGAAATCCTCCTGGCTCAGCTTCCTGAGTGCTGGAAGTATAGGCATGCACCACCACACCTGGCTTCATCTGCCTTTCTTACTTCATTTCTTGGCGTACTCCTGACTTTCATCAGCCATGTTTTATCTGTAGGAGGCCTTTGCACATGCTGCCGTCTTTTCCTTGAATGCTGTTCCTTCCTTATTTAGTTAACTTCTGGTCATTCTTAAATCTTGGCAAAGCCTCACATCCTTCAGGCAGGCTCATCTAACTTTCCTGATCAGATCTAACGCTCCCATTATAAGCTAATAATAGTGTGGTGTACCCTCCCTTTGTAGCATTTACCACAGGTACAGTTATTTACTGTCTGTGATTGATTACTATTTTGCTAAGAAACTCTAAGACACTTATGGTTATGAACAGTTTTTGTTCACTGTTGTATTTATAGTGCATATGAATATGCTTTTAATAGTGTTTGGCATTTGGTTGCTGCTCATTGGCTAGATGAATAAACAAATTAAGTTGTACTCATTACTTAATTAATTCAGATTTATAGACCTCAGTTTTTTGGGAATTGTGTCATGAGGCATGTTTTTGCTATTGGCATGAGAAAGCTTGAAGCAGTGTACAGGAGTAGTTTGTTTTTATTTACTATTCTTTTTCCTCTGTAGGTTGCTGATCAGCTCTGTGCGAAGTATAGCAAAGAATATGGCAAGTTGTGTAGGACCAACCAGATTGGAACTGTCAATGATAGGGTAATGAACATACTTGGTAAATGTGAAGCATTGTATGAGGGAACTGTCCTGTGTCCCCGTCCATCCATCCATCCATCCATCCATCCATCCATCCATCCATATGTGCCACCCCTCCCCCCACCTCCCTCTGTTGAACCCACCACATCTGGCTAAATTACCCAGGCTGGCCTTGACTTTGCCATCCTCCTGTTTCAGTCTCACAAATGTGGAGGATTACATTTATGTGCTACTGTACCTGCATGGGAGCAGTTTATTTTATTGCCTACACTGATTCTAGTACCACTGAATGGCTGAGTTAATTAATGGCTGTGTATTTCATAGTGAGGTTGAGAAGGAAGCCTGGGTAGCTGGCAGTTGGAATCAGCTCCTTCCCCCTGCACACTCCGGTCATAAATGCTCTGTGATTCCTGACTCCCCCACCCCCGCCTCCATCCTTTGTGCTCTTAGCTACAAAGGTAGGAAGTGGGGAGATGAATACAAGTGTGAAAGTCCATAGTGTTTGTCTTTTATCAATATATGGATCATTTCTAACCAGAGAATGTGAAGATATGGGTCCTATATTATATCTGTGACTCTAGGGAAAAAGTCATGTAACTGCTGTGATCCTCTTTCTCAATTTTACTTGTAAGATAAGAGGAATTTAAGTTTAAAAAGAGGCAGATTAGAATTGGGCTGATTGGAATAGATATATCTTAACCCTCAGTCTTTTACTTACAGCTAATGCATAAACTGAGTGTGGAAGCCCCACCCAAAATCCTAGTGGAGAGATACCTGATTGAAATTGCAAAGAATTACAATGTACCCTATGAACCTGACTCTGTGGTTATGGTAAGTTTATCCCAGAGCACAAAGGGAAATAAGTCTCTTGATACAATTTTCTTTGAAAAAAGTAAATAACCATAGTGTTCACACTAATTTCAGTTAGTATGTGTAAGTTTTAATCCTTTGTTTAGTTAATGCCTATTTTGGTAAGAGTAACTATGGCTGCATATCTCTCTAGGTAGTTAAGGATCAGATTAGGTGAGTGGCTGAAAGTACTTTTGAGAAGTTTCAAGCTTTGATATAGATGTAAAATGGCATTACTACTACTTTCTAGTGAACTTGAAGGAATTACAAATCCCCCTGCAGGTAGTGAGAATTACTGCAGGACCTAAACAGTTCATTTATTGTGCCAACTTCAGGCCAGGAAGGTGAAAATATACATAGACTTTCAGGAGATAAAATTTGTTTCAAAGGGTAAATAGGCAAGTAATAATCATCCAGCAGTTACGGTTGACGGAGTATAGTAAAAGCTTGGTGTGCTGTTCACGTTCCCCACTTCACCCCTAGACAAACATCAAGTCAGAAGAAGCATTTATTTTCTCAACTTTCAAAAATGTTGATGCAGTCATCATACTCATACACAGTTGAGTATTTCTTCAGAGATGGCTCCTGAAAGTACAGCTTTACCCAAAGTCTTTCCTAGAGGAAGCCTGTGTCTCGTGACTGGTCAGTGCCAGAGTTTAAAGAGTTTGTCCCTTTCTTCCACCTGGGGACATTTTTGTAGGTGGATTCCAGCTCCAGGACTCCCTGGGGAATTGGCAGGGGCCTCTCTTGGGATTGCATTACAGTCTAATGTTGTCCTTACCTGTCCATCTGCCACCCACTTCCTTTGCTTTCCCTACAAGTGTTAGTCCTAAGAGCACTGTGTAATAAACTTCGTTAACCTGGCACGGTCTGCTTCCCAGGAAACCTGGGATAATGGGTTAATGATACAGGTTTCTCTCTTTTTTTCAGGCAGAAGCTCCTCCTGGGGTAGAAGCAGATCTTATTGATGTTGGATTTACAGATGATGTGAAGAAAGGTGGCCCTGGAAGAGGAGGTGGTGGCGGCGGGTTCACAGCACCTGTTGGTGGACCTGATGGAGCAGTGCCAATGCCCATGCCTATGCCCATGCCATCTCCAAATACTCCTTTCTCATATCCATTGCCAAAGGGACCAGTAAGTATATATAAAATGTAGATGTAAACTTTGGGAAATGACAGATTGGGCCTATAAATGTACTCAGGTAGTAGAGGTTTTGAGAACACTTAGCAATAATATTTGATAGTAGGTTAGTAGTCATATTGTGGAAAAAAATCATTAAGTCATTTGGTTTAGCTCTAGGTAACAAAATAGAAAAGTCTAGAGAGTTCTCAAAAAACTCTTTTCATAGTGAATATCTTTTGGACCTGTGCTGTCATGCTAGTAGCTTTTTCTGAAAATGAATAATAGCCATTATTACGTGGCAGAAAAACCACCTTTGTGGACAAGAAGTCATTGCTAGTCATTGTTAGTAAGAAAATCTGATTCGAATTTTCCCTGTGGAAGACACTGAAGCAATTTAGTGATTTGAAGAATAGCTTTTGGTTGTAGATCTTTTAAAATCTGGAATCCTTCTGACCGCATTTGGCCTTTTCAGCATTTTTTGGTGTGGAGATTTTGAACATGTTTATCTTCAGTGTGAATACGTACATTATATATGTATATTTTCCCTCTTCCTGTACACAAACCTCAAAAATTGCAAATTGGGGCCAGTGTGTCTGATACCGCGTTTCTCCTTTTACAGTCAGATTTCAATGGATTGCCAGTGGGGACTTACCAGGCCTTTCCAAATATTCATCCACCTCAGATACCAGCCACTCCCCCATCGTATGAGTCTGTAAGTGCCTGAGTCTCTTTTATACGCAGTGGGAGAGTGAATCACATGAAGAGAGCAAAATAATGACCACAGGGAAGGCAAAGTTTTGATCAACTCTAGTATTGGCATTGTCCTTGCTTTGGGATTCTTCTGTTGCTTCAACACTGCCCTGGACACATGGTGGTGCTGGTGGCAGCAGCAGCCGCATTGGTGGGCATGCTTTATCTGCAGTGAAGCAGGAATCAGGAAGGAGCCGCAGCTCTTGTGGTGTTGTAGTATCCTGCTAGGACACTTAACTAATTAAATGTATTTGACCAGTTGGGTAGACAAGTACAATGAGCTGGAATAGTCTCGGTGTTGGAATGTAATTATTAAGTGATCAATTTTGTAAGTTTTCAACACTCAAGAAATTGTGACCAGATTTTTTTACTTAAACAGAGGTGTTAGTAAATTTCAGGATGTGGCATTGATTTCACATTTTAGTCTTATAGTTAAAACCTCCATAAATAGCTAATGTGTTAATGATATGAAGTGCAGGTGGTTGTAACAGCTTTGCTTCGTAATTAGATTTTCTGCCAGCCTTGTTTTCTCAGTTAGTATATGCTTTTGAGACCTGTTTTCATCAGCTACTTTACTGAGAAAACATGGGTATGGCATCTGCTGTGTAAATCATTCATTTATAAAGCACTCCCTGTTCCTGAGCTTGCTTATTTTCTTTCCATTGGCTTTTATCTCTAGCTGATGTGTTTTACTCTGGGCCTGAATTTTTTTTTTTTCTGCATTAGTCTTGCATGTATCAAAGCATGACTTACAACTGTTTGTAGGAATGTGGTAGAATATCTTCATTAGGATTTGAAGACTTGGTTCTTGTAGATAGACATATTCGGTGGTTCAGTTCTTTCTCTTTGCCCCGAAGGTGGAAAGGGAGTGGGGGGTCATGTGTGTTGAGTTTTTCTCTGTTTAGCGGTTCAGTACCACATAATTTCTGCTTATTTAAAAGAAGGTAGGAAAGATATGTGGAAATAGAGTGGCATTTTCTTTGAAGCAGGTTCTGTTCCTTCTGGTGAGCAGCTTAGCTCTTGGGAAACACGGGCTGCACCAATACTGGTACTTTCTCTAGTGATACCACTGCTTTTTTCTGTTGTAACAATCTTTGTGTTGCAGGTTGATGACATTAATGCTGATAAGAATGTCTCTTCTGCGCAGATTGTTGGTGAGTGAGAAGGCCCAGTGTTGAATCCTCTGCTGTTTTCTCATTGTTCGTTCCATGTCTATGGCATGCTACCCATGTGTACCCTGCCCTTTCCCTAAACGTAGTATGGCTGATAGAGAGCTCAAGATTTCTTCCTTCAGAACATAAAACTACCTCCCAAGTTCCCTGTTTCTGTCAGGTGATATCACTGTTGCTTTCCACTTCAGTCTGATTTTTTGTGTCTTCTAGCTTTTCAGTCGTCCTCAGGTTCTTGTTACTGCTACCGTAACTTCCATTGTACCTGGAAGTTAAAACATTTTTTTAAAAAGTCAGGTGGTGTTAAGCCAGGCGTGGTGGCATATGCTTGTAATCTCAGCATTGGGGAAGTTGAGGCAGGAGGATTGTGAATCGGAGGCCAGCCTGAGATGCGTAGTTTAAGGTTGCATTTGTCTACAAAGTGAGCCCGTCTCCAAACACCACACGCACAGTAAAATGTGCAGGGAGACATTAGAGAGGGCAAAATAGGCACAAAGCATGAATGTTTATGTGGCCATCCACCTGATTACCAGCACCCCAGAAACCCAGGGGGATGCTTTTAAGCTTAGAGACAGTTAATTTTATTGTAGTATAATTTACTTCTTTTTTTTTTGAGACAGGGTCTCACTATGCAGTTCAGACAGACCTTGAACTCACTTTGTAGCCCAAGCTGGCCTCGAACTTGCAGCGATCCTTCTGCCTCAGCCTCCTGAGTTGCTAGGATCATAGGTGTGCGCCACCATGCCTGGCTTATAATTTACATAAAAGACTTTGTGTAGTTTATTTATATACAGACCCAGAACTCCAACGTAGAGAAAGTCCTCATGTTTCTTTCCAGTCAGCGCTACCTTCATTCAGTTCTGATGTTCTGTAATTTAGTTTTGCCTTTTCTAGAGCTTTAAATATCAGTAAAAACATACTGTAGGGAGATGAGGATTATTTTACTATAAAATACAAAATAGAAGACTAGAAATACAGAACAGACCATTACATCAAATCTTATGAAAAACTGCCCCCTACAGTCTTAAAAAGTGGTCCTTATGGAAGTGATATTTGTTCCATAAACACGAATACCTCACTTTTGGCTTGGTTCCTGTGGAGGTGAGCTTTAAAAGAGCACAGTCTGTTTAGATGAATGATCTGTAAACCTGGCCCCATGTGCCACACTTTGACGTTTCTTAAACTTGTTTCTCGCTGTGGAAGTACAGCAGCTAGGATTCACCTATAAATAGAAAATGTAGGTGTTTTCATCTAATTTTTTTTTTTTGGTGTCTTTTGAGACAAGCTCTCACTGTGCAGTTCAGGCTGGCCTTGAACTCGAAATGATTCTTCTGCCTCAACCTCCCAAGGTGGGGGATTACAGGTGTGGGCCACCATGCCTGGCTCTGTTTTCATCTAAATTTTGAGCCCTACCCCCAAACCCACTCTGTCAGATGACATTGTGGCATCTGAGCCACCTTCATCAGTGTTTTTAACATTGTGCTTGCTTGATCTAATTAGGTCCTGGACCCAAGCCCGATGCCTCTGCAAAAGCCCCTCCCAGACCTGCAGATAACTACAACTTTGTACTGCCAGAGTTGCCATCTGTGCCAGACACACTACCGACTGCATCTGCTGGCGGCGGCACCTCAGCATCTGAAGACATTGACTTTGATGATCTTTCCCGGAGATTTGAAGAGCTGAAAAAGAAAACATAGGTCTCTCAAACTAGGTAACCTCCAACTTCTGGGAGATGAAACTGAGCAGTTTCTCCTTGTACACAAAGAATCTCCATGGAATTCCGTTTCATCTGTTAACCATCACCAAGCACACTTTTGGGGGGCTCTTTCCTACTCTCCCAAATTCTGTTGCTTCCCAGTTCTCTACTGATCCTAAGAGACTAACATCTGGACACTCTGAGGCCAGAGCAGCTGGCTCCTGGCAGCTGTGCCTGTTTATCTCCTGTTAGAGGGATCCCAGGTTCTCTTGTGACCTAGCCCTCCCCAGGAGAACGAGAATATGAGGCATTGTGGTGAGAGCTGCCAGAGATGGCCGAAGAGAGAAGAGCACCTCATGAAGTGTCTTAACTTGTGTTGAAGTTCCAGACTTAGAAACAAATCCCTCTGTATAGGAGGGTTGTGGTGAGACACAAGGCCATGGTGTGTTTTCTCACTCTAATACGAGTAAGAGAGAGAAAATGGTTCAGGGAATCCTAGTAACAGTTCCTAGAAGCTGGGCCCTCTTGCTGGCGTATACACTACTTGCTGCAGGGCACTGTTCCACCTGGATCCAGTTGCAAAGTTTATTTGGGAAAAGTTGAAGCTCTCTCTTCGTTCTACTGGATTCTCAGGGAGCCCTCTGTGGCCTTTTGCTTTATTTTGAGTGCTGTGTTTCTCTTTTACCAGAAGACAGCACCACAGAAATTTACTTTTCCCCATAGCATGTTACTAGCAAAAGAAGGGGACAGGTAGCATACTGGATAGAAGTTGCCATTCAAGCCTATCATGGGCTTCCAGCTGCCTTAATAGAAGTACTCAAGTCTCTTGGGTAGTGAGCTGGAAAAGCTACAGAAGAGGGATACCTGTTTTCACTTGAAAACTTTATGATTAAAGGAATCTTTAAAAATTGATCTCACATTTTTAGTGCCCATGTAGCCGTAATTCACTGCTTTTCTGGGTAGATGACACTCTTCCTATTGTAATTCATGTGCTCCTTTGTCCCCAAGGTAAGCCCATCCTTCCCTACAAGATTGGCTTCTGTGTAATGTATCTGTACATACTATTTCAAGCAACTTTCTTTAATGTTTTTGATTGGTTTGTATCTCATAGCTTAGTAGCTGCTAATAAACTTAAAGATCTGGTGTCTTGCTCTCTCCACTATTGGTCAAATGATGAAGTATAAATTAGATTTTAGTGGAGAATATTTTAAGCAAGCAACTCACATTGGTGCCCAGGCGAGTCAGCCTTTACCTTTGGCTCCCCTGCTAACGCAGATACATAGAGCCCGCAGCTTTCTTGCTGAATTTAAGCCCAGGTAGCGTCTGTGAATTTGTTGGGTTACCTGTCTGTGAGAGGATACCCCATCCGCCATGTCTCATGATTGTATCTTTATTTTTAGTAAATTGTAATAAGTTCACTCTGACTTACTCATTTCCCTTGTCCTTCCTGGGGCATGGATGATGAATGTCCTGTTGCTTGCTGCTTGGTAGTGGAGCTGGTTCATCACTGTTAATATTTTTACAGTGTTATTCCCTTCCTGACAGTGCCAAGAGTCACAAATAAGAACTTCGAGCCAAGGGAATTTTGATTCCTTGGTAACTTACAGAATTAAGACAGTGTTTTATATGCATCTGTAAATAATTTCCTAAAGTATTCCATGCAAAGATAAGTGATACTATACTAGGAAGAAGTAAACCAAAGTAAAGGCTAACAAGATTAAGATGGTTCACCTTCTAAGACTTTAGTGTCATTGATTGGTTACTGTCGTGGCCGCTTCTCCGATGAGGGGTTCTGGTGCTGCCAGATTCCTAACAAATTTTAGAGCTTCTGTAGTAACATAGCTGTCAGTGCAGCTTCTGAGTATTCAGAGCCAAAGGAGAAAAAAGAAAATGGAGATTGTTGCTAATTTTTAGACTAAAAATGTACTAAACATAAAAAATAGGACATAGTAAACATAGTGCATAGTAAGGATGTAATTCTTTAATGATTTACTTTCATGTAGAGTATTTTTTACTACTTAATGGTCAAGAGCCAGAGATAGATAGATAGATAGATAGATAGATAGATAGATAGATAGATAGATAGGTTTATATTGTGGTTGTTTTTGTTTTGTTTTTGGTCTTCTTGAGACTACAGTTCAGGCTGGTCTTGAACTCACTTTGTAGCCCAGGGCCAACTGTATATTTATGGGCCAGTGGCTACTGAACATAATGTTCTGGCAACTTTGGTTTCCTGGGAAAATACTTAATGGGACTAAAATTCTGATTGTGTGCATTATGTTAAGTCTGTAATCTTAAAAGCAGTTACAGTTAAGCTTTTCCTTTTCCAGTGGTACAAAATAATGATACTTTGTTTTGTAGTTAATGAGCAAGCGTTACCACCTTAAGGGACTTCCTTTTCCAAAGGCCATGAGAATGGCCAAAACAAAAAGATCAGTGATCACAAGAACCATCATGAGGATCAAAAAGGAGCCCAGGACTGGGTAGAAATGCAACGACCTTGGAAGACAATAAGAATATTTTGTGAGATTGACATATGAATTTCTACCTCACAGACAAGCTATATGCTCCATGTGGTATATGTTCTTAATCCAACATTTGCTAGGAACTAGGTTGAGGCGCCAAAAGATACTAAATATTAAGTGGACATAAGAGGAGGAACGACTGACTCTAATGACGCTAAAGTATTTTGACCTCACAGCTTTTATAGGAAGAAAATAGTTGAATTGTAGTAGAATTGTAAATTACTCAAATTCCATCTGAGTTTTGGCAGTTCTGGGAAATACATCTAAACATGAGGGTTTTTTGTTTGTTTGTTTCTTTATTTTGTTACCAGGAATTGAACTCAGGACCTTGCACTTGCCAAGCAAGGTACTGTGCCACTGAGCTGTATCCCCGGCCCTAATATATCTAAACATGGAAGCCTCAAGGCATGCAAAGACCCCTGGAAGTAATCCATACCAGAAGTGATCATGCTGTCTCTGCCACCATGAGAAGTTTGAACACAGGAAGATTCCAATGTAAAAATAATAAACATAAGAGATCAGCTTTTTAATATGGTATTTTTTTCCAGTTGTCTTTTTTTTTTTGGCTTTTTCTCCGTACCGGGAACCGAACTCACGACCTTGCGCTTGCCAGGCAGGCGCTTTTGCCGCTGAGCTAAATCCCCAGCCCCGCAGTTGTCGTTTTTAAAGGTCTAAGTACTGAGCTCTGTCCTCTGGTTTTCTAGGGGAAAAAAAATTTTTTTTTGATGCTGGGAATCGAACTCAGAACCTGAAGCTTGCCAGGCAGGCTCTGTCCTGTTGAGCTGTATCCCCAGCCCATTGTCCTCTGGTTTTCTATCTGAAAGGATCTTTACAAACTCAGGTCTTACTAGAATAGCTTCTACATGGCCCTTATTTTCCGCTGGTATTGGCCCATTCTTTTTTTTTTTTTTACACTAGGGTACTGTTTGAAGCTGTAATAACTCACTGGATGATTACATCACTGAGACACAATCTGTTTCCAAGCACCAATTTATCACCCACTTAAAATGTGTTTAATTATAACAGAATTCCTGTTGACCAATTAAGGCACTCTGGTGTAAGATTTTTTTTCCCTTCAGGTTGCACAGTTACACTGAAAGCAGAAAAGGCATTGTATATATTTATGGGGTGCCATGTGATGTTTTGATATGTGTATATATTGTGTAATGTTTTAATTAGGGTAAACGCAAACATTTGTGATGAATCTACTTTGCCTTTTATGTTGACCAGGAAGACTGGTTTGTATTGGTAGTTTATGGGGGAAAGTAATAGGCTCACTGAAATGAATATTAACTGTAAACAGAAACAGTGCAGTCAAATTCAGTGAATGGCAGCAAGTCCCCTGTCATCTCCAGACCAAAATCCCACACCCTTCTTACAGCTCAGGGCCAGTGGCATCCAGACAGGAAGGTGTGACTGTGACTGTGACAGGCTAGAGCAGGACATTTTTTTTTTGTTTGTTTGTTTTGTTTTTTTCTCTGGTACTGGGAACCGAACTCACGACCTTGTGCTTGCCAGGCAGGCGCTTTGCTGCTGAGCTAAATCCCCAGCCCCAGAGCAGGACATTTTAGATGAAATGAGAAAAGAATCCACAAAACTAAAGAACTCATTGATGCAACCAAGCAGGATCTGAGCAGGTCAGCTACTGCACAGAAAAGCAAAAAAAGAAGAGAGAAAACTTTAATCTGGAGGGGAAAAAAATCCTACAAACATCCTTCAGTAACAAGCCTGTACAATTTTGTGGCTGAGGATATAGAGACAAACAGTCAGGAGGAGGGAGCCAGTGTCGCTGTAAGCCTCAGACACTGTGGTTCTGTGACCACTGTCTCTCTGTGCTGGCTGCTCTTCTCTTTCCCACAGGGTGGAAGGGCAGTGGATGAGCTCCTCTGAACAGACTCACAGAAAATATGAAGCCCCTCATCAGACAGGAACGTCCCGTGTTAAAGTGTTCTCACATTGAGATAAAGCCACATATTTCACACAGCCCATGGCTAAAATAAGAGAGAAATGCTTATGGAAAAAAGAATGCAGTTCTTTCTGTGAAATGTACCCTACAGCATCACAGGGCCATGGAAAATGCAGCAACTTCTCATTCTGCCTAGGGCTAAACAAATTCAGGCCCCTTTTCCTTTGACAGTATACCTAAGGATACAGGAAATGCCTGTAATTCTAGCACTTTGGGGACTGAGACAGGAGGATCCTTGCGAGTTTGAAACCAGCCTGCACTAGAGAGTGAGCTCTAGGCCAGCCTGAACTGCGTAGCGAGACCTTGTCTCAAAAAGACCAAAAAAAAAAAAAAAAAAAAAAAAATCTATAGGAACTGAAAAAGAAACTACTTAAAAGACTGACTGTTAAACACAGTAGCCATTCAAAAGCTGTATGCGTAGGTACTACCATAAAACTGTTTTCCTCTTTTGTTTTCCTATTTTTGAGACAGGGTCTTGCTGTGTCGTTCAGGCTGGCCTTGAGCTCACTTTGTAGCCTAGGCTGGTCTTGAACTTGCAGTGATCCTCCTGCCTCAGCCTCCTATTTGCTGGGATTATAGGCATGAGCCAGTTCACCTGGCTTTACTACTGTAAAACTGAATAGCAGATAAGTTCTCCCTTCTCTGGTATGCAGTGGGGGGCAGTTTTTATTGGCAGTTCCCCTCAGGTTAGAGCTGTTAAATCAAATAGAATTATGTAGAGAAACCAGCATTTCCTTACCTCTTTGTGGTGAGAAATTCCCATCAGGAGACCAACCACAGTCACTGCTGACCTGAAGAAAGTGTGGTAGGCAGATGCACCATCCAAACAGCAGGTTAAACTGAAAAGAGATCACCAGTCAGTGGGAGCCACCTGTGGTTCTGTCCTGAGGTGCTGGGTGACATGGCCAGCAGAACCAAGAGGTTGTAAACTCTGTTGGCCACTAAAATTACTGTGCTTGAAAAATGCGAAGTTGCTTTGTTAACTGCATAGTATTTTCATATAAATTTGACCTTCACATTACCCTGTTTTCTAGTTTTATCCCCATTTTATTTGAGGTGAGAAAATTAGTGGGTTTAAATCATACTATAGAACACAACCCTCCTTTTTGCCCCCAAGTTTTGTTTTTTTTTTTTTTAGAACCTCTCTAAAAGCTCAGCTAACTTTGAATTCATGATCCTGCTGCTTCTGCCTGGGAGCTGGGATTACAGGCATGTGCTGCCATGGCCAGTTTAACACATTCATAATGGGGATGTAATTTATGTCTTTGTGCCAGGTGGCTCTGAACCAGTGGTGGCTTATGTGTGACTGTCACATCAGGTGGCATGGGACAGTCCCATCAGATGGTATAAGCTGCTGAATGTGACAGTTGTGCATGTATCACTGGTGGTTCAAGCCGACAGAAATTTGTTAGACCCAGCTGTCTTATTCGGTGACATTTTCTCCACAACTCACTGCCAACTTGAACTGATGGTTTTCCATAAGGTGCCTTTTTCTAAGGGAAGAAATTTACTAAAAGGTCACAGCACTTAGGGCTACAGTGATCGTGGGGGTTATAGTCATGGTGTAGCTGTTCATCAGAATTAGGATGATCAGCAGGCATTGCTTAGAGATTTGCTGATGACTCATATCCTGGGGTAATGGTGCAGCAGGTGCTGTAACTCAGCAGTTGTCAGGAGAACAAGGTGAGTGATAGCAGAGTTCACTATTGGTGGCTCATAGAAGCTGATAAAACTATTAGCAAGGAAAGCTGACAGTTAACAATGAAGTGTGTGAGGCATTGCAATAATAATATATCCCATTATTGCAAACAGATCAGCTAGACCAAAAAAAAAAAAAAAAAGAAAATCAAATATCAGGGTTGAACCACACCTTTGAACAAATGGACAGTAAATGTCCGGAGGGTATTCCACCCAATAGTAGAATATACATTTTTCTCAGCAGCACAAGGAACTTTTTCTCCAAGGTAGCCAGGTGTGAGGTGCATACCTGTGATTCCAACACTTGGGAGGCAGAGGCAGGAAGATTGCCTTAAGCCCAGCCTGGACTACCGAGTGAGACCCAGTCTCAATAACAACAAAGTAGCGTACTAGCCCATAAAACATGCTAAAGTAAATACAAAAGAAAATTATCCCATGCATATTATCAGACCATAGTGCAATGAAACTAGATAGCAAAAGAAACCACAGAAATTATGCAAACACATGGGTGTTAAACAATACTCTTGAATAATCAATGGGTCATGGAAGAAATTAGTTCTTAGACACAAATGGTGACATCAGTACAATGTTTCAGAACCTTTGGTATACAATAAAAGCGGTCCTAAGAGGGAAGTTTGTAGCTGTAAATGCCCACATCAGAAAAATAGCAAGTCTAAATAGATAATAATGCACAAATTCCTAGCAAAACAAGGACAATCCAAAGCCAAAGCTAGTCCAAGAAATTACAAAGATCAGAGCTAAAATTAGTGAAATTGTGGCTAAAACCAAATGCTTCAAAGAGCTGATTTGTCAAAACAATAAAAAAGACAAACCCTAAGTCAGTATTACAAAAAAAAAAAAAAAAAAAAAAAAAAAAAAGACCTATATGAATGCAATTAGAAGTGACAGGCAAAATCACTGAAATTCAAAAGATTATTAACTACTTTGGAAATCTGTATGCTGATAAATTCATGAACTAAGAAGTGGATAGATTGCTAGTTACAAATTACCAAATTGAACCAAGAAGATATAAAAACCTCAAATAATCCAATAATAGGCAGTGAAATTGAGGCAATAATGAAAAACCTACCAAAAAGGAAAGACTCAGGACCTGATGGATTCACCACTGAATTCTGCAAAAATATCAGGGAAGATCTAACACCATTTTTCCTCAAATTTGTAAATGATATTTGCCAGAGTCATTCCTGGAAGCTAACATTACCTTCATTCCAAAAACAGACAAGGACTCTAAAAAGGAAAACAATAGCCGAATTTTTTAACAAACGTAGATATGAAGACTTTCAACAAGATACTGTCAAAAACAATGCAAAAAATCATTAACATCATAAAATCAAGTAGGCTTTATCTCAGGTGCACAGATGGCTCAACATACATGAATGAAAAAATGTACTACATTATATAAATAGATTCAAGGACAAAAAGCGAATGCCCATCTCAATGCAGAAAAAAAGCCTTTGACAAATTCCACATCCATTCATGATAAAAAAAAAAATCAAGAAAATAGGTATATAAGGATCTTACTTCAATTTGGTAAAAGCTATTTATGACAAACCTAGTGCCAACATCATATTAAATGGGGAAAAACAGAAGT